CAGTTCTACGTAGCACATGTATATATTTCTCAGTGATATCTGATTGCAGTGAAATGTTATACTGCCAATGGGGAACAATGATTTTGCAATGGTCAGAATTGTATGGCAGTAATATGTCCCGGATTTTAAAGAAAATGTTGGATAATGAAACTGCAGTTGGTTTGTGAATACAAACTCTAGTCTAATTTTGAGTCATGAAATCACACATGTCTTGTTAAATGTAGAATTATCCAGGTTTATTATAACACTACCTGTTGGGACTTATTTCAATAGTGGCTCAAGAACAGGATTGTTGGTCTTGTAAGCGCTCTAATCCCAGAGAGGGTGCTTACTTACTCATGTTGTTTATTGTGCTGGCGACATGACCTGCTTCATCTCCAATACAGCATTTAAACTATAGAACATGTAGCTGTAAGCTTGTCTTCTGTGTGAACAGTGTTGTAGTGAGGCTGTCCTTGCACTAGAGGACTCGGGTGTAGAGCCTGCGCTGACTGGCCTTCACCCTGCTGAGGTTCAGCAGGACACCAAATGTTTTCCCGCTCCTCTAATTTGGTTGTTGACCTTGCACTCTAATGTTCCTTTGAAGCCAACACCAAAAGTACATTTTCCAAGTGACACGAATACAGACCCAGATTCCATGATTATCATGTTAAACTGACTGTATTTATTTTTGCAGGATGAAAATTGTTCTGGTGCTCTCGTCTCTTAAACTTTTAAGGTACTTTTCTGCCATAATATACACACTATTGAAGTCTTTATCTTTGAGGATCTGTGAACATTGTATTATAAGTGTATATCAAATAATTAGAGTATTTAGATAAGTGGTTTTTGATTTTCTTATAAAGATAAATCACTGCACTAAAGAACTGCTCTATTTAACCAATCTCCACTGCCATTTTATAACTCACTTTTATTCTCCTCATCCACCATCTTTAGTTTAGGATGAAGAAAACATCCACTTGTGTTATATATATATATCTTGATTAAAGAGATCATTGCCCTTTCAGTTCAAGGTCTTTGTTTGTGCAAGACGAGGAGAAAATGAAAACATCCTGTAAGTGGAAAATGAATAACTGCCATTTACTGGATCCTGCTCCATTGTTTAACTGATCTGTAAGAGTGCATTCACCTTCGCCTGCAAATTAAATTACAAATCATAGTGTTGGTCCACACAAAGAAGTGTTGAGTTCACCGCTCTCTGTGCTGAGAGTCCTTATACAAACAAAGTGTGTTACTCAATAGAAAATAATACAAAGCATCCTTTGGGTTATTTCATGGACTTCATGGTTCCTCGTCCTTTGATACTTTCCCCTCTTGGGGAGAAATGTTCGGAACCTCACATGTACCTCTGTTACATAAATATATTCTAGCAATGCGGCCTAACTCCTGTGGTCTTTGGGTGGAAACTCAAACTCAAACGCTGATGTATTCCCACCCTACTTTCTTAGAAACATCTTACAGTTTGAGAAAGATGATCCATATCACTCTCTCAATGGATGGGCTTATGGAAATATAAAAAAAATAGTAATATTCTGTTTTATTATGATATTAGACAGCATAGGGCCTCGGGTCAGATTCGAACCCTGGCCACTGCAGCGAGTATCCACCCCTAATGAAATGTTTTATCGAGTTAATACCGGGGCGCCTATAAAACTATTTTTAAATAAACTGTAAAGTTGATTAAAGATCTGGGCAAGTTCTTAACATTGATAAGGCACATTTTTGGTGTGTAGAGTGCAGTGTAGTGTGAGCAGGCAGGGGACAGGAGTTCAGGGCAACATGTTTCACATTTGATAAGACAAACTGTTTCCATAAATGTAATTTATAATTTAAAGTAGGCCTTAGTTATGTTAGTCAAATACCACCTGGGAGCCTGCCAGAAAGCACCAACAAGTCCCACAGTGTTTGAAGCAGTCTGACTCAGAGCTGGGTTTTATAATATCCTCCTTTTGTTCTGTGACCGCTCTGATCTTTGTCGACTGGCTAAATGCCGTAATATACTACTACTCCTAAAAAAAACCCTGCTGTGCAGTAGAATAAGAGACTGTACAAAGTATATTCAAAGGTATGTGCTGTCTCTGAACCCAGTGTGTGCCTCCCACAAATTTCCATGAAATTCAAGTCAGAGTTAAGCATCCAATTTCCTGAGAAAAAGCCAGACACTGATGGACCTGGTAATTGAATGCCTTCTAACCATCTGGTGAAAACAACAGTCACATTATATCAAGTCTAATTTTAACAAAAATAATGCCAAATCCTAACAGAAGTTATCTGAAGACACTTTTCATTAAGAGCACTGAAGCACAGTGAGACAATTGGCTGTTTAGCTTCGACATGTATTTTGTTTTTTGGAGAAGGCCGGTTACTTAAACACAGAGCAACTCACACCAGTCTAGTCTAACTATAAATACATTTATAATTAGCAATATCTTGATATTTTTTGTGGTAAAATGTCTTTATAATATTGTTAATTTGACATTGATTTTGCCTCCAGTGTCAAACCATTTGTTTGGTCTCTAGAAACAGAGACTATCATCCTGAAAGGTCACATTAAACCTTCTCTGGAGGATACAACATGACCTTATTAAAGGAGGTGTAGATGATGATAAGAAGAAGGCCAACTGTTAGAAATGATTTTCCCTTAACTCCATTACAGTTTTTCTCGATTGCTAGCACACTAAAATGATACATAAAGCACGATTATTTTAACTGACACTCAAACAGCAAAACATCAGCTCAAATCTCCAAAACTCTAAACACGTTTTCAGCTTTTCACACCAATTTGCAAATCAACATGGCACTTTTTGCAAACCACTGCACACGTTTCTCCACGTAAGACACAGGAATCTGACATGAAGTCACGTGTTAGCTGGTTTAAAACACTGATATTCAAAATGCCTCACACATGGACCAATGATCAAGAAACACGTTCCTCCTGACCAAACACCTGATTGCATAATTGTTGGCTCATCAATCAGGATGTTAGCACTATAAGAAGACCACAGGTGAGTACTTTCTTACAGCAACAATGGAAGCCAACATTGAAGCAAGAGGAAGAGGAAGAGCTGGGCTGAGAGTGAGAGGAGGAGGAAGAGGTGAGTGAGAGTGAGAGGAGGAAGAATGAGAGGTAGAGGTAGAGCTGGAGGGAGAGGACGTGGACAAATAAGAATACTCTCTAATGAAATGAAATGTTATCAACCATGGTTTGACAATGAGAGAGGCAGGACAGAGGGTTCAGCCTAATCTAAGCCAATTTACTGTCGCCTCTGTAATCCGGACACTTAGACTTGAAAACAGGTTATTTATCAGTTTTTAGCTCTGCATAATTCATGATATATCAGTGCTTATATCTGTTTTGTGAAACGTATTTACTTCATTACTGTAATTGAATTGTTGGCATGTTGCATAATATAACTGTACAAACATCCTGCACAATGTACTGTGGTAAATTTACTTGTATGCAACACAGACACTGACCAACCACTATATCTTTGTTGTTTATCTGAAGGACTGAGAAAAAAAGAGGTGCAGGTGGAAGGCTAAGGATGTTCAATGAGGCACAGGTAGCAGCAGTTACAAACTTGGTTTTGGCAAACAATGCCATCACACTTAGAGAGATCCGAAGCATAGTAACTACGTGCTGAGATGCATGTTGCACAATGTTATTTTTGAATAAAATATGATTTTTTTTCAACAACTAATTTGTATTTCTTCATTTACTGTATTTCTGTATACTCAAGCAATCTTTCTCTGCAGAAACCTCTATGTACAGAGCATAGCCCATAAAAGATGAAAGTGCTTCAGATTATGCTCCGCAGTGTGTAGTGGTAGTTGGTGGTCAAACAATCTAGTATTATGAATGAAGTGTGTTATATTTGGTGCACAAGTTTGCATTTGGTAAGTGTTTATGTAGTTTTGAGTGCAGTTCTTCATTTAGCAGGAGAAATTAGGTGTTTTGCACTTTGGGTGTGGGGTTTTGTGAATTGTGTTGAGTGTTCCGAGAAACTGAGCAATTTAAAAAAAAAGAAAAAAGAAGTGTGTTAGCCATCGAAAAAATTTGTCAACCAATATTGCCTCTAGGGGACGCTAAACGTTATTTCCACGAATACATTTTTTAGACCTTAGAAACTTTCCACTTTACCAAGTGGTTTCTTGGTAAACTAGTGGACACTTTAAGCTACTGTGATGAAACTGTAAAACACATTGCAGATGTGTCAATTTCATACTCAGTATGTGTAGGCCTATAGAGATTTAGTCTGAATTGCAACTTCTGGTATTTCATTTTATGCTGCCAATGTTTGGATCATCTAAAGACAATTGTCCACACTGCTGGACAATCAGTTCTGTTTCATTATGCTGTCTGCATTATTATGTTCCTTTGTACACATCCACAGATTGGTGAACTCAGATCTGCAAGGATCTATGACACAACAACAGAGACTTTAGTTGAGCTTGCTGTGCAAATATGCAATTTAAGTCAATTAGTGAATTCCATTGTTTGTCTGCCAGAGGCAAAGGATGACCTCCTCACATTTTCATGTGCCCAGTTTTGTTCTCTCATAAGTGAGTATAGCTCTACACATTCCAGACTCCTAAGAGGTGCCAACTCCTTGTCTGTTCCGTGCTGCTGAATCAGATATAACTGGTTTAGAGGGTGAAGAAAGGACGGAAAATATGCTTCTCCTTCAGTGTGCGTGCTCATGTAGCTGTTGGTGCGTAAGTGATCGGGACAGAGAAAATAAAAAGGTTTGTTGTAACTTGTTGTATCTCACATTTTTGTTATATGTTATGTTAATATATGTTTTATACTCAAATCCAATCAACAGACACACGTGTGAGCAACACCCTGTCCTTACTTTGGATATTTGATTTACGCACTTTGTTTTTGCGGAATAGTGCTATATGCCAGTCAGTGCCATTTATGCGTAATTCCGTCATACCGACAAACCAGTCTCTGATAATCGTTGTTGCTGTTGTGTGTGAGGTGGATAGCCTACTAGGAAAACAAGCGGCGAAAACCTACATGGAACAGCGCAGCTATAGGGGGGTTTTCAAAGAAGGCGGACTTAAAGCGACCCCCACAGTTGAGCTTCCGAGGGTTTTTCAATGCCGACCATTTCTTAAAGTGCATCTTGCAGGCGCTGACTTTAAGAGCGACGGTCAAAACGTGCGTAAAGATAAACCACTAATATAGATATTAATACTCTCGCTGGGAAAAGCAGAAAACACGCAAGGAGAAAGAGATTGTGGCCATCCCATTTATTCCCACACCTCACTGGAATTAAATTGAAGGCTTCGTGAAAAGAACCTTTGGTAAGACTGAGCAAATCGGAATTTAAGTTCACTTCTAGATATATTGCTGCTGTGTTTTTACATGATGCTTGTATTTAAGAGTTTTTAAAGAAAGGTTAAGCCTTGTAAAGTATTATTTTAAAAACAATGGTTATAGTATGACTTTTTTCCTCCAAACGAGACATTGGCTGTGTTGTAGCCCAGGAGGGAATACTGGAGATAATATGAACATTGTTACCAAGGATATATGATCTGATGGTACACAAAACTGCGGCATATGTCGTTGTCACCTTTGTAGGGATCAATAAAGACAGATAGTATGTATGGCCCTCCTGCAGTGAGCACCAAGTCCAGATGTCAGGACCATGTGCCTAAAGGAGGTAGTGACAGATTGTCCATCTATTGTCTCGGCACTGGTGTTGCATTTTGAATCTTTCTGTAGTATACGTGTCGTTTCAGTCTGCAGGACCGCCTTGCAACAGGTTAAACCAACAACTGTATGAGGGGATACATGACCAAAGTGTGAATCCCAAGCATTTATTACTTTGTTTGGTAAAAAGGGCTGCAGAACATTTGGACTTGTTTTTTTACAAGCATGCAGTTGTCGGTCGTAAACGATACATTGTCGATTGATTCATTACGACCTTTTGTTGGTATTTAAGTCATTAAAAACCCTTTACTGCAGCCTACACCATTTTTTGAAGGCGGTAGTCTATCCAAGCCGCATGGCTCCGAGTAAAACGCAACGACTATTTCCTTCTCCTCCTACTACCAAAAACCATATCCGACCAAACAGTCATACATATTTGCACACCACAGAGTCTGCGTCAGAACACAATATATATATATATATATAGTAGCTTTAACAACCGGTAGCCGCCTTTTAAAGCATTTCGCCTTTGTTATTGTCAGCTAAATATACCCATGTGGAGGAAGAGCGCACTGTGTAGGAAGTTAAAGCTGCACATTATCACTCTTTGCTGACTGAGCCTAACCATTGGATATTGTGTTATAATGTGTGCCTGACAAGTTGACAACAATTCCTTACATTAAATATACCGTTTCCCCTCACGAGTATTTGAGAGAATTCACTTGTGATTTCAATCTTTTATGTTTTACGCTTATAATGAAGGTGTGCCAGGGATTTGAAACGCCCTGATGTTTCTTGTTTCTTATGTTCAATGCCATCTAATCATTCAAATTCAAATGTAAAATACGTGGCATATTTATAAAATTAATCAACATCAAATGTATCAATTATTTTTGAACACATTGAAATCTCACAAGCCTACCATATTGCATATTTTCTGTGAGCATTCACACATTTTCATGTATATTAGAACACTTTAAATATTTGGGTTTTGAACCTTTGTTTGGACAAAATACTAGTCATTTTTAGGATTAGGAAATGTTTGACTATGTTTTCTTTGTAGAGACATTTTATTATAAAAAGATAATAATTTAATCAAGAAAATTGATATAAAACAAAATTATTGTTGGTTGGTTGTTGTGGGCGTTTGGAAATGTGTGGGTGTGGAAATGTTTGTATTGCTGTGCAACAACTGTCAAGGTGGTGTGAAACAAGACACTTAACCTCAAAGTGCTTGAATGAATGATGAGTGGTCATCTAGTGAAGATATGTAACTTTCCAAGGAAGAGCGTTAAATTAGGAAACATTTTTGAAAAACCAACTTTACTGAAACCATTTACCCAATTCTTGGATACAGAAAGTCTTCTGTCTGTGCATTCAAGGAGTGGTGAGGGGGTATGTTTTTGACTTTGGCCCCAATCTAAACACCAACACCCTATATAGTATATGGGTTTTCGTTTCGGGTTCATCACAGTGGAGAGTGAGCAGATAAGCTCGCCTGCGGTCAGTGACCCCAGTGTGTGCTGTGATCCAAGAGGCTGAGAGTTTGAGGTGGAGCCAGCAGGTGCGTGGCATGTGGAGCCCGAAGTTTTATCCATTTTAGAAGCCGCCAGCTGGACCCCCTTGTCACATTGGCGAGAAACGTGAATATCTGCGTTAAAGTCAGACCTAGTGTTAAGTGTCAGATACTCCAGAGGTTATTATTATCTTTGTCATGGGGCTCATAATCTGTGGGGCTGAACTTGACTATAGCATATGCTATTTATATGAAAGTCATTGGAGAGTCCTTTGTCAATGTTATCTATTTCAATGAATATAATCATCCAGTAATGATTAATGCACTTTGATCTCACAGATTGTCTTTTTAGAAATCTTGTTTTTCTTCTTCATTGAAAAGAAGATCAACCTGCCATTTTTGTATCTGGTTTGTCTTGTGGCTTTCAGTCTGTTCAAAAAGTTTTGTGGTGTTCTGTAGCTCATGAAGAGTCAGTGCCAAATAAATGCTGCCTAAAAAAAACCCACCACCATCGCTTTGATTGAAAACAAAAGTACTCAAGCCTTGACCTGGCGAAACCCTAGATCAGTACAATATGCATAAAAAAACACACAAGTCACCTGTAACATTATCACCTGCTATAGCTGATTTGCATTTATTTGGAGTTGCGTTTATGTCCACCTTGCAAATAATAAGTTCATATTCACTTTCCTTGTCCCTAGACTGCCCACTGTTTGGCTTTTGCGCAGGTAGCACAGTGTGTTTATCAGGGCTTCCCTGAAAACAGCTGCTGTCTGACGTCAAAAACAATTCTAGAGCAGCAAGAGTAAACCTAAACAGTGGCAGATGTTTCCAAACACAAAACTCTGTAAATGAAAATAAAGTGAAATTATTATCAACACTATAATTTGAACACAACTGTAAATTGGATGTATTCTGACTCTGGCTTGGTGCACAGTTACTGCCTATTAGTGGTTCTAAAGTCACACTTTACCACGACTCCTGTGTGATATGTTTATTTTGTAAATATGTAGTCCTAAAGAGCTTTTCTGGCAACATACAGAAATGCACATGCTGATAAGAACATTTCAGTCTAGAAGTTAACATGTGTTATCCTACTTTTAGTGGCTTTACATATCAAAATAGGGATACTTTTCATAACGTCTGCAGTCTAAATATATAAATACAGGGGGCATGTGCCCAAGTGGCCTGAATATCTACATGGAGTATAATTACCCTGAACCTACTGCTGCCAGCTGTATGTTGCCAAGCTATTACTTATGAAAGTTCCCTCAGCTTGTCATCATGTATGCATAGTTAATAGAAATGTACAGATTCCTTATGGTAACTTACAATGGGATTATTTTTTGTGAATAATACTGATACAAGCTAAGCTACATCACATACCCTTTACTTTACTTTCAAAAGGATCAAGATGATATTTGTACAGTTGCTGTTGTTACACTGCGTCTCACTTCATGCACACTGAAATGCATGTTGCTCAGTTTAAACACATGTGTTTAAACTTTCTTTGGTGTTCCCATCATTCCCATCAGCCATAACATATCACCCTTCGTCTTTGTCTTTGAATCTACTGACACCAGCACATCATCTCATTATGAACCACAGCTGATTCCTCTTTACTTTATTGTATACAGGGGACAGACAAAATACAAAAAGAATATCTTTCAAAGTAATACTGTCCAGTTAAATTACCATACAAAGTACCTTCCATGGTTTACAAAGGGTCACTACATTAGATTGCACTACATTGAACATGTGTTTTTCTCTTTGTGTTATGTCCACCTCCTGTATTCTAACCAGGATGTGTCAGTCATCGCCTTCATACATGCATTAGTAATTAGTAGTGCTCATAGTTTCCTGATTTTGAACTAATGACACAGTGGACCAACACTCACTTTATGAAGTCATGCAGCAAAGAGTTCTGGACCCCCAACGGCTGTTAAATCTGAGTAATTCCATTTACAATGGGTTTTAACACAAAAGTCACATTTAGACATTGACATTTGCTATGCACTTGCTTCTGTTTGATTAATTAAATGCACATTTAGGGGTCTACCTGCCACCACTCTGCATGTGTTACCTGGAATAACATTAGCAGGCTTGTTGATGCCGCTCTGCAAATCATCATTTAGATGAAAGCTTATCTTGATATTCTCAAGTAAACACTTATTATGTTTCCAACTTGTAAACCACATATTAAAACATATTCATGAATGTTAGGTTGCTGTAATGCTCCAGTTATTGTATAACAATTATTGTATAACTGTTGAAGTTATACAATAACTGTTTTCTATGGTACGGTTACTGTACTGAGTTGTCAATCAGATTTGTTAGGAAAATGATATGCATGTAAGGATAATTCAATGTAATATCCTTCCTAACATATGCAGATATACATTCCCAGAGATGATAGCAAATGTGTATATATATATATATATATATACATTTAAAGAATCCCTTTGTACAGACTACAGTGCCAGAAAATAAATCAGGGGAAAAAAGTAGTTCATGAGAAATGGAGCAATCTCTTAAACCTGCTTTTCCAAAGAATAAAACATGTGATGCAGGTGCTGGGAGATTATGGCAGGACATGAGCATGTGTCCCCAGCAGGCACGTGGCTGAGATGAGCTGGTGCTGCCAGGCACGGCTGACCTCGTGCCCGTTCCTGATACCCCACCACATGGGCCTCTCCTCATCTACATGTGCACTGCTCCCCTCTTACCCTGGCCCCACCCTGATTCATTTCCAACTCGTACGAGAAGAGATAGGAAATCAAGTGAAAACATTTTTATATACACATTATCTCACAATAAACGGAAAATGTTTACATTTAATCATTATTAACCCTCCCATCTTGTCAAACATTTCAAATGTAACCTGAGTCCGATAACTCCTCCTGGTGCTCAATAGAAGAGGATATATTGCACTATGCATATCTTTCTCTCATGGACCATCATACTACTTCAATTATTAATTTGAAACATCAATATTTGCATCAAGCTCATTCTTGGTTTTCTTGTTGATGTGATGATAATGACATTTTAGAACCAGAATATTCTTCAGATGACCCAAACAGCTTAGAAGATCAGCAAACCGTATAGCTAGTTTCAGTATAGCCAGCAGCACAACAATCACTATGTTAAACACATCTGTCAAGTCTTTAACAAGCTGTCTTATCTCACCTTTAGACATGGCTAAACGGTACAGCCTACCATTCGCTAGCGAAGATTACACAGCACTAATAGTACCATCGCTGTACGGTTTTTAAATATCAAATTGACCTGAGGTTACCTGATCTCAGGCTTGGTCGGTATACAGACGTTGTTTCAGTTTCTGTCCTTTTTGTTTTAATGCAGCTAATTTTCTGTGACTTCCTTTTGTTGCACCTTGACTTTACCTGAGAAATGCAACAGATTGATGTGGTCTCAAAGGTCTTTATTACACTTCTGAAAAACCCAGAAAAACGTCTGGAAATGTTTTTATTTTATGGCTGGGTGATTTCCCTAATTGTTTCCATTGGAAAACACTCCCCGGGTTATGCTAGCAATTACTTGGATTGACTTTATTGGAAGTACCAGTTAAGCATTGTTTCCTTTTCTCCATAGGTACCAAAGGACATATCTCCTCTAGACAACTTTGTATATGATTATTTTATAATTGTGTTTTGTGCTGTACTGTGTAATCCCTGTTTCCCTTGGATACACAGAAGGCTTTCTCTCAGCTCACAGCATTTATATTGAAATAAAATAATCATATTTACTTAGTCTGACCGAGAGCAGAAAATAAATGAGTCAAATGGAAACCTTTGCAAAGGAAAAGTATTCAATTTCCCCTGCCTTGACAAATCTAAGGTACTTGTCACTGGCTTGTACAATTCAGGATATTGAAGTATAAAAACCTAAATGCACTTTTTTGTTTTATCACATACTGTAATAAATATCTCATTCTTTAACTTTACCTTCACCACTAAAAATAGAAAGTGTATAGCACTCTCAGATATAACGCAGTGTTCAGTACAAAGTACGTCCTTTTGTAGTATAAATGTAAGTGGCTCCAGGCTCATCTGCTGTTCTTTTTGTTTTTCATGCACAAAAAAGCATATTGAATCCCTGGAAGCCACAATTGGAATTAATTTGAAGGGAGAGTGGGAATATGTCTTAAATCAGGTTGTGTATCACTGATGATGCAACACATTATGATGAATTTCATTTAAGAAATGAAGTTGCTCTTCACTTTCTTTTCCTCACAGTCCCTCTTGAAACGATGATAACCTAAGTTTGACATTGCAACAGAAAGTATTGACACGTCGGGCTTTTAAGGCTGCGTTACAGGATATGTTAACTTTGGGCAGATGCAACTATTCACTAGATAAGGAAATGGAAGATCTCTGTGAGGTCACAAGTTTTAGTTTCCAAGGTTGAAGTAAGATGGTTGTCGAAGTTTTGTTCCTTCCTAAGATTGTTTGTTATTGGACAGGCCACCATGTCTAATTATTGTGTTTAGTGTTGTTTAGAGTGACTTTGTTTTATTGCTCTCAGCTTTCTTTTATAGCTGCAGGGACAGCGAATCAATGGCCCTCTTTAATTGTAGGGTGGGAATAGCAGTATCAGTGATCTTCTGGCTGAGAGGACACTGTGAACACAACTGAGCTGCTGTACATTTGTCACAGAGTAAGCAGCAAACAACAGCCTATTGTCTCTCAGAATTCTCACCGTAAAGAAGTGAAGAGGATTCATTTATGTCGCTGGAATCATGGGAGGCAATGACAAGTTAGTGCTTCATTAGTAATACGGCCGAAACTCCAGCTACTTTCATTATTTATTCATCTGACCATGATCTTTTCCAAATGAATTGTTTGTTTAAAAATCCAATTATATTTAGTTTAATAAGATATAAAACATAGAAAAGCAGGAATTATCCACAGTGTATTCAACAGAGTCCCTATCTTACCAGCTTCCAAGTGATTGATCGATTTACAATCTCCTTTCTCCTCAAACTGGTTTCAGAAAACCCCACGCGTACACATCAAAATACACTGTTGAAATGTATAATTATAGTATCATGATAATAACTGTTTTAAAAACCACTTTCTCAGTCATGTAAATCCTGTTGTGGTGAGTGATTAAGCATTTAGTTTGATCACATTGTGCTCAAATTCGTCATTAAAACCACCGTGTCCCTGTGTGGGATGTGAACACTAGTATTTCAAAGGCTTGTGGCATTAGCTGCATAAAGGACAAGAGCAAACAAAAGTCCAAAAAACTCAAACAGACCTTGACCTTTGACCGCGTTGTCTGGACTTGTTTGCCTTGCTCAGTACAGAAGTTCTGCAAGAACAAGAAACTAGCCATAATTTCTAGCTTTTTTATCTCAGCCGGTGATCATTTACAGCAACCTACCATTCATGTCGGGTTATGTATTGCAGAAGTTTTGCTGAACAAATTGAATTAGTGGGAAAATGGGGTCAGGTCTTGGGTGCTGGAAGTCACTGTGTCAACAGCAGAGCTGAGTCATTGCTACACTGATGTTGTACTGACAAATATTGCATATAAGGATTCATGACGCCTATCATTGATCTCAGAAATGTCCGTACATTATCACAGGAACGGCTGTTTTAGCCAATAGGCAATAACACTGCTCTTTGAAAGTGAAAAGGTGTTGTACATAATTACAATTAAGCAAACAGAAATTAAGGCAATTACGCTAAACACAACGAAACACCTGAAACTAAAGGCCTACCTATACAAAGTGAATCATTCATTGTTCATCACATTTTTGTAAAAGATCTAGAAACATGTTTTCTTAAAAAAAAATTGAAATATAGACTGCAGCTTGCAACCAACCCAGTCCCATCCACCTAACCATAACCACTAAGGAGAGCAGCAATAAACAAAACATGTACAAATAACTAATCTGTTTGAATTTAGCAGAAAATGTGCTTAAATAGAACCCGCTGACCATAGTTAGAAACTGATTAAATAGTTTTCTGTAATATTGCATCTTAAACAAGCGAACCCACTTACATGTACTGCTTGTCATTAATCTCCTTTTTCCTTCTTCCCCAGATATTCAAGTTATTGAGCGACCTACTTCGTCATAAACATACAAGCCAAAAAATAATAAATTAATAACTTGAATGATGGAACCCGCTCAGTCAGAGATCTTATCCAACGGGAAAAGTCACAACCTTGGAGGGGAAATGGTTGTGCCGATGAAGATGATGCAAGAAGAGGATGTGTAAGTATCTTCCTCTATTTCAAACACAGATCAATGGCTGCCCGTTTGTCACTTACACACTGTTAATGGCATTATAACACAGCATGTGTGGTGCACTTTTGACTGTAACACTTTCTGTATTGTTATTTTACCTGTGTGAAAACTAAATCCTGGATTATTTTACCTCAAACTAACTTAAAAAGAGACTATTCAATGTATATAACTTTGTCCCTGGGATGAAAGTTTCTAATAATGACCCCGGAAAACTGGTGTGAAGATTGACATCCAGTATGACTTACTTCCTGCATTATGTTCACTTTGTGAATTGCATGTTAACCTTGTTTTTTGCTTGCCTCATCGGTTGGATCCTTTAAAAGAAATGGCACTCAAACAGTCAGGTATGTATGTGGAGATTTGTGTGAATGGGTTTTTCAACTGCATTTTTGTAACCATGCTTTTGATAATGCATAAAACCAAGCATTTCTTCAGCAGATGTGTGCCTAGTATCCAGAGATAGATAGAGAGACCAATAATTAAAAGTGATACATTTGTGTCCTAGATTTGATGATCCTGATGGAGCGCTGGAGAATGAGGAGTTTTTGCCAAGTGGAGACGGGAAAAAAAATATACATTTCACAGATGTAAGTGAAGTTTACAGACATTGAACAACAGTAAGACTTGACATCAGGTTTTTTTCTTTTTTATATTGAATGCTCTTGTTTCTTTCACCCCTCAGTTTGAAGGAAAGACCTCTTTTGGCATGTCTGTCTTCAACCTGGGTAATGCTATTATGGGCAGTGGAATCTTGGGATTGGCATATGCCATGGCCAACACTGGCATACTTCTTTTCTTGTAAGTAAATAAAATAAATATCCATGTTAATTGGTGCCAAAGTATGAATTAGAAGCCACCCACTTCAAACTATCAAACAAATGCAAATGCACTTTTGTTGATGGTTGCAATTCTGAATTGTTCTAAGTTTCCAAACGTTTCAATGTGTTTCTGTGGGCCTGGACCGAAAGCTATACTACTCCACTGGAGTGTGGAGAATGTTAAATGTTTTAATTCACTTGAGAATACGATATTTGCCAACAGCATTATAAAGACCTGAGACTCTCTATACTTGAGGGATGACAATTAAGGAGTCGGTAGATAGGGGGGGGGGGGCAAATAAGAAGACGAGTGGTGCTGGTTACTTACAGGAGTGATTTAGTGTCTGTCATGACATTGTGAAACATATCATGTACCGTAATATGCCCTCCCCTACTTATACCCTTTTTCTCAGGCTTCATACACACCCCAGAAAAGGCTACAGCCCAGAATAACCTTTGTCAAAGGCATCTGGATTTCTCATTTTCAGAATGCTGCTGTCAGAGCATGAGTATAGTATATTATACCATATGGTATGTAAGTCGCTTTGGATAAAAGCGTCTAAGAAATGACATGTAATGTGATGTAATATAATATAGTCTGTGTTTGTGTAGCTGATGAGAGTGAGTAGAACTAGTATTGAAAATATGAGGTCAGTTCAATGCTAGAGCTTTGAAAGAGTAGCTCTTCCAATGATGGATGCTGCAGGTAATAGAATCCCTGTAGGTATTTGGGTCAGCGGTATTCCAACTAAATATGCTCAGGGACTGGTTTTATGTAAGTGAATCATTGTTATGTAGCATAATCTTCCAGGGTTATTACAGTTGCTATTAGTTGATGTACACATTACTTACACATACTATTGGCTGTGTAGCAAATCACCCAATGTTATCCATTAGCTCGTTACAACAGATCAAAATAAAACTCAAACACATTTACAGACATTTGGACGGTGTTATGCTGGTATATTTCTATGGGATTACAGGCAAGTGGATGTTTTAGGGGAATAGGCCAGTGGCATTCAAAACAATCTTAACTCATGGAAAGCAAACAGAATAGCTTTTCAAGTTTTTGCAATATTTTCCCGTAGAGTCACTTGTGTGTTTGATGGTGTTGCGTGTTTAAATGTCTCTGTCATACACACGTATGTTCTAAAGGTTTGGTACTCTTTTGGGCTGCCTACTTTATTCGTAAGAGAACCCTTGATCCATCGGACATACAAATAGACATTCTCATTCCTCGTCAGCATATTTCCAATGAGACACAGAAATAGAGCAGTCAAGAAGGATCAGTAGCAAGAGGAGAATATTTCACAGAACACATCGCACTACACGGTATATTTTCTAAAGCATATCTATAAAAAAAATGCCCGTTTGTGAGTTTAGTCGAACTTGAGTTGCTTCTGACTTCAGAACGGTTGGACAGTTTACAGAGCCGTTGCTATGCTTGAGGCGATGGTGAAATATGAAGGCTCGACCCTCATCCCTCTGCCTATACAGGCAAGGGCCATTGGAATATTTTCACTACAGTTGTGACACAAGATACAAACACTTTATAGAAATACTGGGAAAGGTCTGAAAAAGCAGATAGATATGGGATCAACCTCTGACCCTTGCTGACCTGAGATCCCGGTGCTGTCTTGACTCTTCAGGAGGAACACTCTATGTCTTTGTGGAAATAGGGTTGTGTATATGACTCTCGTTTCTGTACTTTGTCACAGGTTCCTTCTGACTGCAGTAGCAGCTTTGTCATCTTACTCCATTCATCTGCTGCTCAAATCCTCAGGCATTGTGGGTAAGCCTTGGGTGTTGTCTATGCTTTTATTTTACATATTATTGTGTTGAGTTGTGTTATCGAAATATATATACATCATTTTACATGACATTTGTCCAACTTTATGCAACCAGAATAATCCAAAGTGACATAGATATCTGATTAATGGTTCCTGACTATTAATCAAGCTAATTATTCCAAAAAGAAATCAAGAAAGGACTCAAAACTTAATCGGACTACCTTTTACACTATTGCAGTCAATTTGCTTATTCCAGTTATACAATCAAATACGATTATTGCAATTGTTTACATCTCCTACGGATTTGTATTTTTAAAAAAAAATGTGGTTCACAGTTTACTGAACTTCTTTAATGGATTTGATTTATTATAAAAAGGCTAATTAAAAAATAAGTGCATTCTATGATCTGGTGTGTCCATGTTTACTTGTTTTAAAAAAATGTGAAAACTATGAAATGTACAAATGGTTTTAATCCAACATTCACAAATAACTTTTTGTTGTTGTTGTATTTTATTGTGTTGCTCAAAGGCACTTATCAGCCAACATAACTGAGTAAATACTAATGTAATTGCAATCTGTTCACAGGAATTCGAGCTTATGAACTGCTTGGATACAGGGCCTTTGGCACTCCTGGAAAAATGGCTGCTGGTATAGCAATCACTCTGCAGAATATTGGAGGTAAAGTGCTTTAAAATGACTGATATGATTAACCAATAAGAACAAGCTAAATTATTCTTTGGTAAAGGTGGAATTTAAAATAAATGTAGCTCTAAAACCTTTTTAATGTATTAAAATGAGTTGAATTTGATGATAAGCTACCACCACTCTTCCAAATTGTAGAAGATGACCTCCGCTATGTTGCTTAATCACACATACATGACCTTGGTTTCCTCAGTAGTAGCTACCGCTGACAATTACACACAAATGATGTGACGTGGCTTTGCCGATGTCTATTTGCTCAGGAAGCATACAGGCATGCTGGGTCAAATGTTCACCTTTTGTCTGTCTGTTCTGTTATAGCTATGTCTAGCTACCTGTACATTGTGAAATCGGAGTTACCGCTGGTAATCCAAACTTTCCTGAAGGCAGATCCCGAATCTCAGTGAGTATGATCACTTTAATGCTGCTAGTGAAAGGCGTGTGATACCTGCCAGCTGTCCATGCAGTGTGTGCCAGGTCAAGGGGCCTGGCACACACAGTGGACAGAGAATATATCCAGTTTGCACCATTCATTGATTCGGTCAGCTTGGGGGTGTGATGAAAATGGCTCCCTGTAATTGGCTAAGCTGTAGGGGGCCCATGCTTGGGTACTATCTGTCAGTTATGTCTACACACGACCTAAACCCTCAGGGCTGTCAGCTTGTAAAGGCAAGCAGTGTTTACGTCAGAGCCATGCCACAGACACAGACACTTTGAATAAGGCCCGGAAAACTGAAGTGGATTCTAGCTGCCTGTTCAAATCTAAAAACAAACCATGCTCTCAGAAGGGATTGCAGCTACGTTTGCAGTCACTCTTTAAAAATCTCAGGCCTGAAAAATAAAAATAAACTCTTCAGAAATATCTGACAGCAACCCATCTCACACTTGTGTTTAACCCGTTGCAGCTAAACATATAGGCATCCCTCTTAGGTATCTAACATTCAATTCAATACACAATATATCCTTTACAGTAGACATGCATATACTCAATTGTCCAACTATCATTGGGTGAAGTGTTTTTTCTTTATTCCCTTTTAGAAAGCTCTTTCATAACCATTCTGAAGGGCACATCATTGTCTTTATCATGCATTCATTTTGGAGCAAGATACACTTATATCTGTTTGTGTGAATTCATTTCAGGGCTCAAATGCTGATTGACACATTAAGTAATACCACTGTCAATGTCTGTGACACACACACACACACACACACACACACACACACACACACACACACACACACACACACACACACACACACACACACACACACACACACACACACACACACACACACACACACACACACACACACACACAAATGACGGCAGCAGGTGGTGTAACATGGTTGCCAGATACTGAGGCCGAGCATAAGGACAGGTCAGATGAGGGCCAGCACTCGGCACACTGTTCATTTCCACTGGGCACACCTCTTGCAGTTCAGATCTGTGGCGTCAGAAGAACAGGCTGGAATGAGGAGCGGGTGTCAGGGGGGCGGGGCTGTCGGTTGCATGGTCACACAAGGAGAAGGTCAGATATTTGGAAGTAGCAGGAATTCACACAGGGCTATTGTCTTATTCAGACTAGGCTCTATAAAGAAAATCCAAAATAATTAAAAAGATCATTCAAACACTACTAGGCCTTCCCTAACCAAATAGCTTATTTATGAGGCCAAAGTATTGCAAACACATGCTTAAATGCAGAACTTGCAATTTTCCGTTGGAGACTTGTAATTTGACCTGGACTTGTCCTCAATGACTCGAAATCCAATACAGTTAAACTTGACTTGGATTGGTCTTGTTTGACTGGGATCTTGACCTTCCCGTTCGCAGCTCTGGGTTCACAACAGCTACATTTCATCTCACATGCAAAAGCTTATTTAGCCATTTAACATGACAAGCAGGCTAGATTTCTAAAAAGAGCATTAACTGTGGTTCCTGTAACTTCCCCTGCTTTCAAGGGAGTCCACCTCACGCAAGCATGCACACATGAATGGGCAGAGAATCCAGAACTTCACTCAACGATATTGAAACAACTGAGAAAAAACTACCTTACTTATTGGAACAGAAACTCACACACAAAAACATCACCTTATCACCTAAAAAGAGAGAACACTGTGGCAAATCGCAGTATGGTGCAAATATCCCCGTATGCTGTATGTATGGCAGACAGCTGATCTGACTGGTTGTGTTTTATCAGAAGGTTAAGAATAACAGGATTAAGAGCTTAAACAGGAGCTATAGTCAACACAGGTGGTTCTATATGCAAGGATTTAGGAGACAATGGCCCTTGATGGTTTCTATAAGCTTCCTGTTGCTAGGGCTCATCTCAGTTCTACAGTTACTGATGTTTTAGATGTTCTTTCACTGCTAACTGCTACCAATGATAAGTATTAAGTATATTATATTAACAGGTCGCCCACCTCAATGACTGACATCTTTTCACATGACTATAAACATACCATTTGTTCATAATAAAAAAATACTTAATATCTGAAGTTTTTGCATACAACACAAGGTCACAGCAATAGTATGGCAAAGAACGTCATAGCTAATGTGTGGGCTTTACAAGGCCTATGTGTTATGAAGGGTATTCACAGGAAAACGTTTGTATATTGGGAGGAAGTGCGCACACCCACATATAGCCAACAATGATGTATATATAGGATTAAAGGCAAAGCGGGGCTAGGATTGGATATTTCATTCCATCCCCACAAGTTTTTTAGACTTGATCCCAAAACTGTTGCTATGCCTATAAGCAATGCCTTAAAGGTGGAAACTTAGTCGGGCTGTTTGTTTAGGTATAGTGGTATAAGATTTTCAATAGATAGGTATTATGAAGAATATCATTTGGTATGAAAAATAATAAAGTAATTATCCTTATTTGTGTGTGGGGCAAGAAAGTATTTGAATTGGTGCTGGATTATTGCAAAAATATTATCATACGTGTATTATTAACATGAAATAAATATATAATTTTCTTTACATTGGTACAGTGTTTCGGTACTGCGCAAACTGGGCGTCTAATGTACTGATGCTCCGCTGTATCTTTATTTTCTGCAACCATGAAAGGTTGCATACAATCTTCAATTACATAACAGTGTATTCCAGCACTTCTGTTGAGAGCAACATATCAGACACATTTTCCATGATGTCGGGGCCAAAAATGTTCCCAGCAGGTTGCTGTCCGTCTGGCAAATGCAACGCCTCAACCATTTATCCCTTGACAACCAATTGTTGCTCTCAGACCATTTCATTTTAGAAAAAGACCAACAGTTTATCTACATATAAACATATTTCTTAACGTCTAAAACTTTTTTCATCTGTATTTGTGTCGCTGTCTCTCTGTTAGCTGCATCTCTGTGCCAATGTTTGAAATATTGAGCTCATTAAAGTAAACAATATTTCTCTCCAAACAGTCTGTGGTACTTGAATGGAAACTACCTGGTCATGATGGTCTCTGCCAGTATCATCTTGCCCCTGGCTTTGATGAAACAGCTTGGTGAGTAATGAGCACCTTGGGACCTCTGCTCCCCAGACTAAGACATTAGTATTTACCACCAAGGAATATTAGTCTATTTCTCATCAGATTGCACACACACTGCAATAGACTAATATTCCTTGGTGGTAAATACTAATGGATAAATAGTTGTGGGTCTTAAGCTACTGTATGGAAGTCCAGTTCTGCCAAAGAAACAAACTAAAAAAGCTAGGCATTACATTTTAATTGCTCATGGTAAGTCGTCATGATCAGACAGTAGTTCAACATTATCAGATGCAAAAACTGCCAGGCTCATTCATTTTGATTTAGCTTAGTTTTTACTTCACATCATTTATCTTTTTGAAGTTGAAATCGGCTTCTAGTTTTTTGTCCCTAAGCCGTAGTTTCTGCCTCCTGCGGTTAACAGTAAATTATGTCCTTGAACTTTTCTGCCTCTCTCTCTGTATTCACTCAGGCCTTTATGTGAATTATGTCAACAGATCCTTACGCTTAAGTAACTTCATTTGAAGTATTTTAGCTCTTTTCAAAGCATTTTATCTCCGATACCTGTACGTTTGCAAAATATATATTGTTTATACATGGGTATAACACTTGTTTATTAGGATTATGTTTTATTTTGACAAAGAGCCAACTTATATAATGACATTTTAAAGTCAAGCAATTAGTGTGTGTCTTTATCCCCCGCTGGCAGTGGAAACAGCAGGTGCCCAATTAGACATCATTTTCCCTGAGTTGATCCCATCCTCCATCTGAGTTACTCATTAATACATGAAACAAACATGCTCTTTGGGTCTCACAGTGATGTGAGGTGATGTAGACGCCTCATTTATAGAACAGTGGGAAGCCTTCAGACTGTAAGCTTTGTGAAGTTCATGTGTAACTAAATCAGTTTGCAATAAAACACATGAAGGCCAAATGGATCAGGAGCTGTGACATTAATGGCCCTTTTATCTTTATGTGCAGGTTACCTCGGCTATACCAGTGGATTTTCCCTCAGCTGTATGGTGTTTTTTCTCTCTGCGGTAAGTCGGTCCAGCTCACATTGTAGCACCTCATCACAGTAACTCTTCACAAGGAGGCGTATTTGTTCTGGCAGGTCATCTTGGCACTCATGTTTCTCACTTTCCCACCCTCATCCCTTTCCCACCCTCTCCTCTATTTTCAGTGGTATGTGGCTATCTTTGATAAGGCGAATAAACGAGCCTCTTAATATGCATCATAGGTTGACTGTAAAAAGTACTTAGAGGCTAAATCACACTTATTTGGTGGCTGACCCTGACATATCCTTTCACGCACACCGTGTCTTTGAGACTCTCTCTTTCCTTCTTTCGCATCCCTCTGCAGGTTATCTATAAGAAGTTTCAGATTCCCTGCCCATTTGAAGAGTTCTCAGCCAACAGTACTGCTGAGCACCTCAGCCTGAATGTCTCAAGTCACGGCCACGAGTACAACAACGGTCTGGTTCACGAGGACGACTGCACTCCACGCTTATTCAAACTCAACTCACAGGTAGGAAGCCGAGGTGCAGACAGTCTGCTTATCTGGATTGTTTTTTAACATTAAGTCCATGAATGTCAATGTCTGCAGAGTTCCCACAGTTATTTTTGGTAGGCTTGGTTGCTCTGCTAATCATGTGTTAATGTGTTCTTCACAGACAGCATACACAATCCCCATCCTGGCTTTCGCCTTTGTTTGCCACCCTGAGGTCCTCCCCATCTACACCGAGCTCCGCAAGTGAGTCTCCCTTCTGTAACCTGTCAATATTATAATAATATGTCATTGCATTTACACTTTCAACTTTCTGATTTCAGTCCAACGCAGAAGAGGATGCAGAAGCTTTCCAACATCTCAATCTTAGTCATGTACACCATGTATTTTCTGGCAGCTCTCTTTGGTTACCTGACCTTTTTGGGTGAGCAACTTTTATTCTTTCTCTTAATTACATTAGAAACATTTAAATGTTATGTAAGTATCACATAGTCCGTTTATTGGTAGTTATATCTTACTGTCAAAAGATACACAGTAAAGCAAAAGGAGAGCTGAATTTGCTTATACTGTAGAGAGAGATGCTTTTTGTGAAAACTTCAAAGTGACTTTGTGATCAAATCCCTACATGATCAAAGATCTCTAGCACCACATTCAAGCCTTGTGGTGAGTAACATGGATTGTATGCCTTATAAAAAAAAAGAAGAAGTTTATTTTGTGCTTACAAATATATAACAAAAGGAATGTACCTGTAAACTGTAACCAAGTTCCCTGGGAGGGTACACTAAAGAATCAACAGACAATACAAACATTTTATTTATAATCAACACCATTACATTAAATATATCATACAAACAATTTTTCGAACAAATCTCGAAGCACCCATCATATATTATTACCAACACAATAATCCAAGACAACTTTAAAATGACATTCATTACATTTTAAAAACATAGATCAGTAGTGTTTGCTCCAGTCTGGCCAATTCTATAATTGTGTCTGAATTGGGGATCTACAGGGTCTGACATTTGATGAAAAAACGATTTACTTACCCTAATTGCAAAATGTGTATTGCGGAAAAACACGTGAGTGAGTAGAAAGCTTTAGCCTGCATTGTTCTTCTCTTCCTACTCATAGAGCCTTAGCTCCCTCTTGTGGTGACAATGTGATGAATTCTCTTAACATGAGAGAAGTTGACTAACAAGCTTTCTACCTTTTTCTCTATTATTTCAATAGGCAACGTGGAACCTGAACTGCTGCACACTTACAGCCGGATTGATCCCTACGACACTCTGATCCTGTGTGTGAGAGTGGCCGTCCTCACAGCTGTGACGCTGACCGTCCCCATCGTGTTGTTCCCTGTACGTTTGTTGATGATGTCTTCCCTGCGATGCTTAATGCATATGATATTGTAGTGTTTTGTCCTCATTGAGTCCTCTACCTGTCCCTCTGCAGGTACGTAGAGCCATCCAGCATATGTTGTTCCCCACTAAGTCTTTCAACTGGCTGCGTCACATTGGCATTGCTATGGTTCTGCTTACCCTGATCAACATGCTGGTGATATTTGCTCCCAACATCCTAAGCATCTTCAGCATCATTGGTGAGTACAGATCCGACCATAGATCTGAAACTGTATCAAAAGTAGCAAAGTAGTGTGATGGGCATTAATCAATTAACTCAAAAAAATGTACTGCAGAAGGCCCTTCTGGGGATTTCTATGTTATTAGCTCCTCCACTTAATGTTAAGATTTATATATAGGAGGACTGTCCAAGAAACAACCTCACCATTTATTGTGGGTATAATTAAGGAACCTCTCAGAGAGCAATGGGAAAGACGAATTTGAAAGAGATTAAATAAAGATAAAATAAAAATAACAACAAAGACAGTATTTGTTGCGTAATCCTTCTGACAAACAGACAAAAACAAAAACTGAACATTAGAACAATAACTGCATTGCAAATAGCATTAATCTCTCCTAACGGTCTTACTTATTCATCCACTAGTTTCGACAATAGTTGATATTCTACATAAATGATTTGATCATGGGTTACTTAGTCTGTCCCTGTTTACAGACTGAGCCCTCTTGTTTGACACGGCAGTGTTTGTTGTGTTTCAAGCTTTCAAGTTCCTGACAAACAAAGTACATAAAAGCAAAACTAAAAAACTTGACCAGCTCATGTTTGGTCACGGACGAACGGATGATCGGAGTCATTATTATTGTCAGTCAGTGTCTTCATGTTTTACAGGTTAGAAGTCAACATTGAAAACAATTATGTCAAAAGACTGCCAAGGGCAATGTGAAAGCCACTGGTTCTGCTTTGATAAACATGTGCATGCAGATGATACAATATGGATCTGTTTTGTAAATGGTTAGGGTTCACAATTTCAGTTAATATCTGTGTTATTTTATGCTTAACAGCTCAAAAAGTATGTAAACTGTCAGATTATGATCACATCAGGCATCTTATCATTCCAATTAAAACAAAAAATATCCTTAAATGTGAGGTTAGTCTCTAGACAAATGTTTGTAATCTGTCCTGATATGTTCATGATTGAGCCAAAAAAGATTTCAACCTTAGAGATGTACTTTGGCTAGCTGTTACCACTGTCAGAACGTTTCTGTTGCAAGTTAAATAGCCTACTACATGACAGTAAACATAATGTCAAAAATAGACTGCACCTTTAAAAACGTCATTAGAAAACTGAAAAGGATTAGAATTACAGTACATGGCTATGTTTCATCTTCTTGTCGGTGCAGTGCTGTATGCTCTGTGCCTAACCAGCCCTTTCTCTCTGTCTCCTTCCAGGTGCCACGTCGGCTCCATGCCTCATTTTCATCTTCCCTGCTGTCTTTTACATCCGCATCGTTCCCAAAGAAGATGAACCCATGAATTCTGTTCCTAAAATACTGGTGAGGCCTTGAAGTCATTCTCTCTTTATTGATTCGTTAAGCTAATTTGGTGACTATCCTGTGTGATATAGGCTTTCTTCTTGATAATCACTGTCTGTGTGACTGTCTGTGCTTCTTTTCTCAACCTCTCAGGCTGCCTGTTTTGCTGCTTTGGGGGTCATCTTCATGGTGATGAGTCTGAGCTTCATCATCATAGACTGGAGCACAGGGGGCGGTCTCGCTGCTGGAGGCCACTAGATGCTGCCTTAGTGTGTGAGCTCCAGACAGGGGGAAACATAACTGGTCAATGTAAAGGGAGCTCTGTCACCTTAGTGGAAACACACTAACAGTGTGTTGGTTGGAATCACACTGCTCAAGTTAAATTAACTTTTTGACTGTAACTTAACACATATCTGAACAAAATCCTTGCTTAATGATGTTGTTTAATTCAGTTTAGTGCAATTGTGATGCACATTTTATAAATAATCAGGACTATACAGGGTATATTTTTATTACCATCTGTTATTGCGACTTTAATTTCCTCTTTATTTACACACAAACAACTGCAGCTGGTACTGTATAGAAGAAGAAGGAATGCTTGTCTATAATGTTGAAAACAGGAAGGCTTCAGAACATGCATGAGAAATAACTATACACAGATATTCATTATTTTCATTGCGACACACAAAAATACAATAGAATCAGATGATCTCATCCTGAACCAGCTGCATTCTGAACTATTTATCACTATAAAACAAAAGTGCTTTAAGGCTTTAGAGAGCAGTGACACTTCATTATATGATCTGTCGAGTTGTTACATACTATGTCACACAAAGCTCTTGTTCCAGATCAACTCCCTTCAGAAACCCTGGTGCCTTTTAGCATTTGGAACAGCACACAAATACTGAGCAACAACAGGAGTATATATTTATTTAGCTACTATATCTTTGTTTTATAATTTCAAATAAACTATATTTAACTACTGTATATGATAAATACAATAATCCAAATATATCACAATATAGTTTTCTTTGTTTGAGTTTACAGTATATAAATGATGGAAATATTTACGAATGAAGATATTTTAAATGTTTGATAAAATGCAACTTAGGGTTATACCTCCTTCATAGAACTTTGAACACACATGCCGAACTTTGACCTTAAATATAAACTCAGTACAGCTACAGCTAGTTTCAACCTAACAGTTCATTACCCCCTTAACATGTTTGTTCCCCCTTTACAAGTCTCATTCAGTTTTTATAAATTCACAAACCAAACGTTATACCATATTAAATGATGACATAATATCTTAATATGTACCTTCAGGTTTAAACAATTCATTGAACTTAAATGACACATCTAGTCAAAATCCAAATGTTAAATGAAAGGAATAATTGGGGATATTTCCTTATTCACTTTCTTTGAAAGTTGCAGACATGGGAAAATTAAAACCACTCTTACATATGTGTGCAGCAGATACATACAATCAGGAGATGGTAATAACAAGGGGGGAAACAGCCTGGCTCTGTCCTGGGGTCAATAGCCTTGCAGCACCTCTGAAGCTCACTATCAAAGACTTAAAATCCGGGAGTCACTTACCTCTAGTGAAACATCCAGTAATGCAGAGCAGGTTTTTGACTAAGGACAGTAGTATGCGGGAACTAAAGCAATGCACATATCAAATAACGTATGCAAATGAAACACACAACTAAGGGTCATTTAGGGTCATACTTTTTAAAGATAATTTAGGTTAACCCAACCAAGCCAAATGGGTTCTTAACAATTCCTGGCCACACAAAATGGATTTGTAAAGATGAACCCACTGGTGGGACTGCAAGAATTTAACAAGTTAATTTTTATTAATTTGAAGATGTATTATGCTGCTGTGATTCCTTCGTAACTTTGTTGCCTTACTGGTTTTTAGTATATTGATCTGCTTTCACGCTTGTTGACTGTTTAGACTTGCGGTTAATGTTTCGCGTGTTGTTAAGTCCAGTCCGTCCTGTAGTTGGTTTGGTGAACACAGGGATGTTCATTCTGACACTGTCATGCTTAGATGTTATTGTGATTCTGTACATTTGTCATCTTAAAGTGAAGTGTATTGAGTTGAAATCCTGTGATCTAGTTGTTAAATTGTTATATTAGTATATGAAGCCCTTTTTAAACGTTTTACATGAAACAATGTTTAGTTGTTTAATTGTATGGATGTGGATGGATACTTTAGGTGAATGTTGCTTCTCACAATAGAACTACAACTTGCATATAAATTAACTTTTAACAGATTACAGGAGATTTGGTTTTACATAGAAACCACAAATGTGTCAGCAGAAAAGGTTTAAGCCTAAGAAAAATAAAAATGTGCTGCTCTTTCCCCAAAGTTCTTATATTTTATCACAATACTAAGGCTTCAAAAAAGTCCTATGCAAGTCATCACTTCTTTCATTATATTTATGAATATCATATTTGCAGTTTTCTTTTTTACAGATAAATTATTTACCACAGCCGAGGAAATATGCACACACCAAACTCCTTCCCTTGTTTTTTCACAAGTGTTTGCTGTGGTTGTTGTGGGGTTATTGTAGGTTTAGTTTTTGTCATGTTGAGTGAATTTGTTCTTCACTTTCAGTGATCATGCCAAAATAACAACTGACTATACTGCATTGAAATGCCTTTAACTTTCAAACAGATATCACTGTTTCAATACCACACGCAGTATTTCAAATATGCATTCTTCATTAACCAAAAAAAACAACAATGTGAAATGGTATTATAGCTTTTGTTTCAGACATATATTTTTGGAAATGACACTATGATAAAATGATAATTAGATATATGAATTTTGGTGAATAAAACGCGGCTTTATATAAATAATGTATATAAATGTAAACCTTTTATATCGTGATGCATATTTACAGTAGCTTATAAAGTGTAAATAGCAGGGACTGCTTTAGTTTGGCAATAAAATAATTGTAGATGTTTTTACATTGCCTCTGTTGTCATCATTTCCCCTTCACTAAAACCAATATTTGTTTTAGCAGCACACATTATAGGGGAATGGGTTTAAGACATGTAACATATCCGCCGTACAGGTTTTTGGTGTGTTGCTAATGGTTTGTATCCGATCATTTATGATCGACAATGTAGGAGTATACTAAATTCATCCCAAATAAACGTAGTTATGTACATGATTTAAGAAATTGTTTGGAAAGTGTTCTTATATATGTCGAGGCTAAGCTATGTTGACGTAAAAAAAAAAACATTAGACCCAAACTTTAGGTTGTTATGATCCCTCACTGCTGACCTTGTTATGTCAACATTCAGCAAGTTTTTGCTATAAGACATAGACAATACTTATTTAATATTTTATATTGGAAAAACAGCAGACAAACACTATGTTTGTGTATTTCTGACACCTAAGGCATTTATTTCTATATGTTCTGCTTCACTCAATAATTTGTTTACCAACAACTACGACTATGGCTGGGGTAGTGTGTGGTCATCTACCAATCAGAAGGTTTGATCCCAGCCCCTGCAGTCAACATATCATTGTATCCCTGGGAAATCTAACTCACTTAACCCCAAGTTGCTCTTGGCATGGCCAACAGTGTATAAATGTGTGTGAATGTTAGTCAACCCTGAGCAGACAGCACCTTGTATGGCAGCCTCTGCCTCTTTATGAATGAGTGAATGCTGACTTGTCTAAAAGAGCTTTTAGGGGTCGTAAATGCAGTCCATTAACCATTTACCGGAAGACACCTAAAAGAGTCTCAGAAAAGTGGGAGAGCAACACTTAGCGTAGTATAGAAAGGTGAATTAGCAATACAACATTTTGAATTTCACACATTCACTTAGTATATAACCAGGGTTGTCACTTGTCAGATAAGAATATTACATTTAAAGCTCATAAGCCTTTACAAATTAAGCTAAAATGCCTCTTATGTCTATTATTGTATACCATTATTCACAGAGTATGGCCAAGCAACGTTCATCTACCAGAGAACAATATCTACTAATGTCCATTTGAGGGCGCTATTAACCAATCTGGTATTGTATTTATAAAATAAGACCGATAGCCATGTTAATATCCCTTCCTGAATCCTAACGAAAGAAAATCCTGCTACTGCACATTTCGTTCAAAGTTAGCTGTATAGCATTAGCCAGCGTCATTAGCATCATGTTGTCTGAGAGGCTTCGTCCATGTGAGCTGCAGAGGACTGGCGCAGCGCCCACTGCAGTCTGCACACGGCACTGCTGAACGCAAGCCTCACTAGCCTGCGCTCTAATTGGTTCCACGCCGGCTGCTCACGTCTTTGGGAGAGCTCACCTGTTTTAATTGGGCTATCGCGAGTTGTCCAAGTAAGGTCGGTGCGACTGGTCGACAACTTGTAATCGTCAATGAGGCATGAGTAAATTACATATCTGAGGATAACCAACCAAAGGCACTGCCGCATTCGTGCTGCCCACCAGGCCGACAAGACAGCTGAGGCCGTGTGCAGCACCGGAGCAGCAAGCAAAGGCATCTCAGTCTGTGAACGGTGGCAGGACAGAGGGCTGTGAGCGTTTCGATATGGACCTGGCCTGGTTGTAAGAAACCAAATGATTTGGGTGCATCTGTCTCATCTTTGAGCTCACACTTGCACAGGAGAGCAGGTACTCACTTTTTAAGCCAGGGTAAAAACTCTGGAGTTTCTCTCTAGCAGGCAGTGCTGGACGCAGGAGCTGCTTCATTGTTATTCTTGGCATCGGCTGGCACGCTAAGACCGTCAAAATTGAATCCTTTTTTTCCGCAAGTGGTCGGTGCGCCCCTGCGTTTGGAGCCATGGGTTGTACTGTGAGCGCCGAGGATAAGGCTGCCGCGGAGAGGTCAAAGATGATCGACAAAAACCTCCGAGAGGACGGAGAGAAGGCAGCCCGAGAAGTGAAACTGCTTTTATTAGGTAGGTCACAGCTTGCGGTTGCTCCTCGGGTAATACTAAGTCAATTAATCCTTGCTGCTGCACATCATCACAGTTGTTGATTGAAATACAGCAAATCCACCTGGGGACCACTTGGTTAACATTAAGTTAACATGAAACGATCTGCTAAGACTTCATGTAATGCTGAAGAAAAAATATAAATAAAAGGGAAACATTAATCTGTAGGTGCAAAAAACTAATCCCAAGGGGCACCAACCACCTGCAGTTTCCCCAAATAGCCAAGGCAGAAGCCTTTGCAGATCAGCACAGGGAAGAGAACAATTAAATCTTCCCACTGAAACACATCCTGTAATTGTGTTAGTAGTTAGCCGACACAAGTGTCCATTTACTTGGAGAGAAGTCAGATACCATCATGTCAACATGCAGCACAGCTCCTCAGGGCTTTGAGCTGGCTTTTTGCCCAGTAAGCTTATTTGGAATGATCAAAACCAGTGGATAATTTCTAATCATTAACACAGTTACACTTTAGCACTTCTATGAATACACTTCAGTCTGTTATTATAAATAAATACAGTAATCAATGTGTTTGTGGACAATAGGCAAATATTCAGTTTTTCATTAAATAGATTGTGGAGCTTTAGAAACACCCCCCCCCCCCCCCCCCNCACACACTCTCGCTCTCTCTCTAACACACGCACGCACGCACGCACACACACACACACACACACACACACACACACACACACACACACATGCCATCTTATCTGATTCAACTGTCTTTTGTTTTTCACCATCTCTTGGTCTAGATTTGTCTCTTGTTTAAATGTTCACACAACTAAACTGACATTCGACAAGTATATTGAAACTTAAAGCGTGAGAGCTGGTTGGATATGGACGAGGGTCAGTGTGCAAATCAGATGGTAATACAGCACAAGATCAGGATAAATGCTGTGGGGTGGCTAATTGTTTTGAGTTGGCTGAACATGTGAGAGAATGCTTCAAAGAGCTGTTGGGAAATCAGGTTTGATAAGTCAAAAAGCCACTTGTGTATCTGCAGTTTCTATGCCATATGTTCTCTCTTTAAATGCAAACTCAAATCATACGTTTGTCAAACCTTTGATATCTGGTATGTGATGTGTATCTTTGAAATATTGTGTATACTATAATTTCACCGGAGCAGGAGTTGATTTACTTTGAGCTAACAGAGTCAAAGTAAAGGTTATTTGTTCAGCAACAGCAAAACATATTTTTAAGAACCATTGGTTTTCTGTGGGTGTGTGGGTTTCCTCTGGTTTCTCCCCCCAGGCAGTTTAACTTAGCTGGCTACTCTAAATAGCTTTGTTTTATCACATCAAACAGTATCTATGGGCATGTTGCTTCCTTGGCTTGTTTTCATGGTTAACTTCCTAAATCTATCAGTGGTTATTTATTAATGCCATCTTTCATCTTCAACAAGGTTTTTTGGTATGATTACATATTTCTTGCATGGGGATAACAAGACCTTTTTCTTCCAGTAATGATATCTGTCCAGACAAATCAGTAAAACAAAACATTATCAAAGAGTGACAGTGATGTATTTCAGAGGGCTAACAGCTCTCATGCTCTGATGCTTTTTAAGGCATCGTGAATATTTTACAAGGTGTCCAGAGGAATTCAGTCACACAGATTTTGACCACAGGGAGTTGTTTGCTGGTTATGTGCAGGACAGCTTTGGGGTTTTGCTGCATTACTGGAGTCTTGGTGTTGCCAGGCAACCCGCAGAACAGTCCTGCACATAATCGCCTATTAACCCCAATTTGTAAGACTTGGTTATTGATAAGATTTTATTAATACCAATTCTATTATCCATCCGATTGTTTATCAAGTCCCTTATGGATTCCTGATGCATTGTTGGGTGGAAACTGAGTAGGTTCATTAGCACCACGCTTTTGAACCTCTTGCTAAACCATGGCTCCATTCTCGAGCAAACTTGAACATTTTACTGGGGGCCAATATTGGTACGTCATTAGGCCAGCACAAATTACGTTAAACCATCAGTTAGAGGAATAGATCAGAGGCAATTTGAAGAAATTGCGCAACTTGAATTAAAACAAATGTTAGCCCAATCTCACAAAAACGCATTAGTCTCAGGGGGTCAGGGGTACGTACAGACAACAACAACCTCTTTCCTTAGACCCTCCCAATCAGTGAAAAACTCTGAGGAGAACGGAGAGCAAATGGAAGTAACAGATTCTTGATAACCATCCCAAACATTTGTCAGTTTTACACTTAGGTGTTAACAAACTAATTAGATGTTACCTGTTCATCAGTAGACTTTACAGATGTTGGACTTTATTAACAAAGTCAGCCTAGCAGTTTCCTGTCTTGTGCTAAGCTAACTGTCTACTCAACTTTATAGTTAACTCAAACACAACAGAGCAGTATCAATCTTTCTACTCTGTACAAACTTTTTAACAATTATGATAAGAGGTCACAGCTGAAGTCTCAGGGAGGTCTAGGAACCTTATAATCTAAATATTTGAAGGAGAACCAAGTTAATAATATGTTAGTTATGCTGCTTCCAGACATTGAGAGCTTTCACATGTCCTTAAACTGGCTGGGATAACACTTTTAAGCTATGTTTCAGCCAAGGGCTAAAAAGAAAACTTGACAGGTTCAGAAGAAACTCCTCTCTCACCACTTTCAGTGTTGTAAGCAAACACTGATTTCACCATGTTGCGCCATATCTTTGAGTTCTCTATGTAACCGACTGACTAGACTTTATCAGCCTTGGAAGCAGAGACAAAAATGCATGTTTCATAATGATGTAACATCTCAGGATCTGAGGATCATTACAACTTGATGTCTTAAACACATATATATATATACGTGTATGCATCGAGGAAT